GAGAGTGCTAAATTGGTTGACGAAATGTGGCCATGCGATTGTCGGTACTTCGTCTGTCAGAAAGTTCCAGTTGGCTGTCTCTGCAAGTCGAGCCAGCTCATCGTACCGTAGATAACTCGGCTTTCCCGTGTAGTATCCGCAGGTAATCTCTTGTTAGCAGAATGGGTTATTTTCAGCATTTTAACTCAGCAACTTTAAATACATAAATTGTCACTAGCAAAAGTGCTAACGTTTACAGATGTGAGACCAAATTTGGGGAAGAGGGCACTATCATCACCAATCGCGAGCAACGGTTGCATAACGTTGCACTGCATTTTCGGATTTGTCATGCAATCAAAGGATGCAAAACATGTGTAAAAACAAACTTATAACTCATTTATTGTCAAGGCCTTAGAGCACTTATCGGGGGATAGTGTCGCAATAGCTCATTGTGTTTTCAAAAGGTGAAATGCTAGATGATATCACACTAACAGTACAAACTGGTTTTTGAACAAATATATCAGACCTGTTTTACTCTTGCAAATTCAATGTACCTACAGCGGATAGTGTGAACGGAAGATCGGCAAAAATACAACGGGCCAGTTCGCAATGGCCTGCCATTTGATGAAAATCGTTTAAGCACTGGACGAATTTTTTTGCCCAAAATTAAAGTCCAGAATTGCTCCACAAAGACGATACTTCAAGTAGAAAAATGCCGATACACGTTAGCCGCTACCAAAGTACATAACTCTAAATAACAAGTGAAAAAGTATGGAACAACCTCGTGATTGATATGGGTCTTAGCTGGGGTGTGAGCCTGGACGTTTTATCCTAACTGGCCGGGGACCGCTCCCCTCTACATGCCCAAATTATACTATATCTCTCTATCTATACACGACCCACAGCGAGTTGATGATCGGGATTTCCAAACGAAGCGGCATCTGATTATATAAGAGATATAGGGGGAGTGGGGATATAACATCATAACAAGGAGCACCGGAGACCTCTAATGCGAAGACACCCCACCGACACACTACACATACACAGGAGGGAGACACTCAGTGTGCCAATTTTGGATGGGATTGTCTTGTTTAAGGGGGTTGGTGGGCGCGCGGGAAGGGGGGGGGGGGTGTGACGGGAGTTTTGTAGCGAGAAACTATGTCTGGTGCATAAGGATTTGTCTTATAAGGCTACGATGAATGAGCGCGAGAGGTCTACATAGAGGACGAACTTCATGAAACACAAACACTACACACATAGTGGTGGTGATTCTACAACTCTCTATCATTACTGAGAGTGATGGAATTATATGCGTAAATATAATGTATATTGATAGTAAAAGGTGAGATAGATGGGTGTGGGTAGATGTGGAATAATTGGGGTGGGTGAGGGATTTTACACACAAAGAATATTTTATATTAATAGTTGAGGGGGGAGTTGCGGGGAAGGGAGTTTTTGGTGAGAGGGTGGTTATCTCTCTCGATGTGGAGTGTGCATGATAGGTTGTTAGGGGGGGGGGGGGGGGGGGGGGGGGGGGGGGGGGGGGGGGGGGGGGGGGGGGGGGGGGGGGGGGGGGGGGGGGGGGGGGGGGGGGGGGGGGGGGTGGGGGGGGGGGGGGGGGGGGGGGGGGGGGGGGGGGGGGGGGGGGGGGGGGGGGGGGGGGGGGGGGGGGGGGGGGGGGGGGGGGGGGGGGGGGGGGGGGGGGGGGGGGGGTGGGGGGGGGGGGGGGGGGGGGGGGGGGGGGGGGGGGGGGGGGGGGGGGGGGGGGGGGGGGGGGGGGGGGGGGGGGGGGGGGGGGGGGGGGGGGGGGGGGGGGGGGGGGGGGGGGGGGGGGGGGGGGGGGGGGGGGGGGGGGGGGGGGGGGGGGGGGGGGGGGGGGGGGGGGGGGGGGGGGGGGGGGGGGGGGGGGGGGGGGGGGGGGGGGGGGGGGGGGGGGGGGGGGGGGGGGGGGGGGGGGGGGGGGGGGGGGGGGGGGGGGGGGGGGGGGGGGGGGGGGGGGGGGGGGGGGGGGGGGGGGGGGGGGGGGGGGGGGGGGGGGGGGGGGGGGGGGGGGGGGGGGGGGGGGGGGGGGGGGGGGGGGGGGGGGGGGGGGGGGGGGGGGGGGGGGGGGGGGGGGGGGGGGGGGGGGGGGGGGGGGGGGGGGGGGGGGGGGGGGGGGGGGGGGGGGGGGGGGGGGGGGGGGGGGGGGGGGGGGGGGGGGGGGGGGGGGGGGGGGGGGGGGGGGGGGGGGGGGGGGGGGGGGGGGGGGGGGGGGGGGGGGGGGGGGGGGGGGGGGGGGGGGGGGGGGGGGGGGGGGGGGGGGGGGGGGGGGGGGGGGGGGGGGGGGGGGGGGGGGGGGGGGGGGGGGGGGGGGGGGGGGGGGGGGGGGGGGGGGGGGGGGGGGGGGGGGGGGGGGGGGGGGGGGGGGGGGGGGGGGGGGGGGGGGGGGGGGGGGGGGGGGGGGGGGGGGGGGGGGGGGGGGGGGGGGGGGGGGGGGGGGGGGGGGGGGGGGGGGGGGGGGGGGGGGGGGGGGGGGGGGGGGGGGGGGGGGGGGGGGGGGGGGGGGGGGGGGGGGGGGGGGGGGGGGGGGGGGGGGGGGGGGGGGGGGGGGGGGGGGGGGGGGGGGGGGGGGGGGGGGGGGGGGGGGGGGGGGGGGGGGGGGGGGGGGGGGGGGGGGGGGGGGGGGGGGGGGGGGGGGGGGGGGGGGGGGGGGGGGGGGGGGGGGGGGGGGGGGGGGGGGGGGGGGGGGGGGGGGGGGGGGGGGGGGGGGGGGGGGGGGGGGGGGGGGGGGGGGGGGGGGGGGGGGGGGGGGGGGGGGGGGGGGGGGGGGGGGGGGGGGGGGGGGGGGGGGGGGGGGGGGGGGGGGGGGGGGGGGGGGGGGGGGGGGGGGGGGGGGGGGGGGGGGGGGGGGGGGGGGGGGGGGGGGGGGGGGGGGGGGGGGGGGGGGGGGGGGGGGGGGGGGGGGGGGGGGGGGGGGGGGGGGGGGGGGGGGGGGGGGGGGGGGGGGGGGGGGGGGGGGGGGGGGGGGGGGGGGGGGGGGGGGGGGGGGGGGGGGGGGGGGGGGGGGGGGGGGGGGGGGGGGGGGGGGGGGGGGGGGGGGGGGGGGGGGGGGGGGGGGGGGGGGGGGGGGGGGGGGGGGGGGGGGGGGGGGGGGGGGGGGGGGGGGGGGGGGGGGGGGGGGGGGGGGGGGGGGGGGGGGGGGGGGGGGGGGGGGGGGGGGGGGGGGGGGGGGGGGGGGGGGGGGGGGGGGGGGGGGGGGGGGGGGGGGGGGGGGGGGGGGGGGGGGGGGGGGGGGGGGGGGGGGGGGGGGGGGGGGGGGGGGGGGGGGGGGGGGGGGGGGGGGGGGGGGGGGGGGGGGGGGGGGGGGGGGGGGGGGGGGGGGGGGGGGGGGGGGGGGGGGGGGGGGGGGGGGGGGGGGGGGGGGGGGGGGGGGGGGGGGGGGGGGGGGGGGGGGGGGGGGGGGGGGGGGGGGGGGGGGGGGGGGGGGGGGGGGGGGGGGGGGGGGGGGGGGGGGGGGGGGGGGGGGGGGGGGGGGGGGGGGGGGGGGGGGGGGGGGGGGGGGGGGGGGGGGGGGGGGGGGGGGGGGGGGGGGGGGGGGGGGGGGGGGGGGGGGGGGGGGGGGGGGGGGGGGGGGGGGGGGGGGGGGGGGGGGGGGGGGGGGGGGGGGGGGGGGGGGGGGGGGGGGGGGGGGGGGGGGGGGGGGGGGGGGGGGGGGGGGGGGGGGGGGGGGGGGGGGGGGGGGGGGGGGGGGGGGGGGGGGGGGGGGGGGGGGGGGGGGGGGGGGGGGGGGGGGGGGGGGGGGGGGGGGGGGGGGGGGGGGGGGGGGGGGGGGGGGGGGGGGGGGGGGGGGGGGGGGGGGGGGGGGGGGGGGGGGGGGGGGGGGGGGGGGGGGGGGGGGGGGGGGGGGGGGGGGGGGGGGGGGGGGGGGGGGGGGGGGGGGGGGGGGGGGGGGGGGGGGGGGGGGGGGGGGGGGGGGGGGGGGGGGGGGGGGGGGGGGGGGGGGGGGGGGGGGGGGGGGGGGGGGGGGGGGGGGGGGGGGGGGGGGGGGGGGGGGGGGGGGGGGGGGGGGGGGGGGGGGGGGGGGGGGGGGGGGGGGGGGGGGGGGGGGGGGGGGGGGGGGGTAATTAGAGCGTGACAGACTGGTTTCTGTGCGATCGAAGTGCTCATCGGGGCAACCGTTCGCATGGCACGCGTAAAACTTGGCGCATCCACCTCAGTTGGCGCAGTGGTACCAATCTGTGAAGTGGAAGTCCCGTGTTACCCAAGACGCGACGTCTAATATCATCGTTTGTTTTACATGGTACATCCACCACACTTGAGCTATCCTCCGCAGACTTCCATTGTCAAAAGGCCGACACAACGTCATTCACACGAATCGGCATGGACTCACTCCCATACAGCAGCACCGCGTGAATACAGACACTGTAGACACTGCCCTTTACCGAGAGTGAAACGTCGCGACGTCGCCGACCAGATATGCCACAAGTTGGCGAATGCCGAACGGCTGTTGGCAATGCGGAGGGAAAGCTCTTTCCAATGCTATCATCGGCAGGGACACAGCTTCCCAGGTAAACAAAGTTGTCCACATGTCCAAGCTGCGTACCTTGAAAGTGTGAGCACTGGAGCAGGTGATGCCAATCGCAGGACCAGGACTTCGCATTTCATAAGGGATAAGGTGTCATCCCATATATTGATGCTTTAATCGCCAGCGGTTTAGAACGGATGTGTGCACCGTGCGTCATCACCAAGTAAGACAATATCATCAGCATAATCTAAATCGGTCCCGTGATTGCAGGAAGATGCTCTACACAGCAAACCTGAAGCCCTCTGAGAGCGTTTACAAGGATCATCCTCGATCGTGAAATTGAGAGAAATCAGAGGGAACATGGGGGCAACCCTCTCATACACCGCTATTGACATGCAGAACGTGACAAGAAGCTTACACAAGCCCTCCTCTTTACCTGAGACAGTGCAATAAAATGCTCGATGACGATATACCTTTATTTTGCTGCCATTATTTTTTAACAACTCCATTAAGCTGGCCAATCGACGGTCTCGACGCTTCTCGGATTTACAAAGTAGCAATATTGAGCCTGTCTGTGTATGTGACGCTTGTAAAAGTGTAGAGCGTAGCGGTAAACATATGGTCTATTCACCGTAGACACAGGACGGAAACTAGCATGTTCTTCATTGGAGCACAATTCTCGGATCGGTGTTAGTCTGCGGAGTAGAATGGATGTAAACAGCTTGGAGACAACGGACTTTAGACTTATTTCTCGGTGGTTGGCACACTGGGTACTGACACATTTCTTGAAGACCGGGATGATAATTGACTCGCGCAAAGCGGATGGAACTGTTTCTTCACACCAGATATTACAGAACCATCCTTTTAACGGGTTGACAATTACTTCGCCCACGAACTTGAACAGCTCTGGAAGAAGTCCGCATTGGCCAGCAGAGTTGAGTCGCTTCAAGTGTCTGGGCTCAAGGCAGACCTCAGCTTCAGTGGGTGGTTCCCATGAGACGTTTCAAAACGCGCAACTAGGTATTCTCAATAGATTCACCGATGGAGGATTAAAGCTGATTTGAGTGCGGAAGTGTCCAGCCCAGCGGTCCATACTCCTGTGTAAGTATATTATCCGCGTTACGTCAACCTCGCAAAGACTGTCACTGACAACAGGTCTTTTGTGACCAGTGGCCCGAATGACCTGGGAAAGCTTGCCGATGTTTCCAGAGAGGGCTGCTGTTTTCCATAACTGAGGCGCGCTAGAAACACCAACTTTCACGATGGGCACGCAGCCTTTGTTTAATTTGTTGGCTGAGAATGCGACGCAATGCACTACTATTTGAATCGTCTTGGATAGCTCTATGACGATCAAAAGTCCAGGTTTGTGCGGAAGTCCGCCCCTTAGAGTGCGCGGAATCAGGCGACCCACTCTTTCATTGAGTCCACCGGCAAGGACGGTCTCAACTGCGTTTTTGGCCTTGTTCAATAGGTTGTGAGACCACGATAAAAGTCATCCTTCACCGATACACAACTGCAGTCGGTTTGCGCGTAGGCAGAAACGACAAACATATTGCGCCTCTCTTTCACTATTGTTGCGTCTACATGAGCCTTGAAGCTGAACCGGCATACAGGCGGCTGTCGATGGAAAACGATCGAGTAATGGCAGCCTCTGCTTTGTTCCTCAATGCGATACCGATGCCAACCAAGTCGGCTGCTGCCGCTTCCACGTCACTAGACTGACGTGTGTAATATGTGGCCTCAAGAACAGCTGGGGACGACAACTAAACCACAGTGCTGGCATCCTGTAGTCGAGTCTCTGAAAGGCAACAAAAGTCGATAGCGAAGGACTCTAGAATGAGCGCCAAGCCAGCCTGTTGTCCAATCTATAGGAGGGTCCGAACATTGTAAGCTGCCAAACGGAAGGAATTACGGGGCCGAAGGATAGTTGATAGCCAAATGATTTGTATAACAGCGACACGAAGGTTTGAAGTAGATTCAACAGGTTGTAGATTATCAACAAGAGAAAAGTTGGCGTGTGATGGAGAGGCACTGGTCGCAGCAAAAGTAGCAGCAGATGTAAACTACATAGTAGTAAGTTCTTATTCCATGGGTTTCTCAGTGGGTACGATACTACCCGGTTGCCCAAGCCGAATTCGGGAGAGTGTTTTTGGGGACCGCCCCCCCCCCCCCGAGCCTTTGGCTCAATAGCTCACCCGCTAGGCATCGGAGCGAAGTCATGGATTCGCACCCATTAGGAGCCGATGGCTAGGTGCTCAGTTCATACGCTTATCGTTTGGTGAGTAACCAAACAGAGGCCAAACCTTTCCACGATGTCAGCAGCATGGTGCTGGGATACAATACTTTACCGAGGTAAAACCAGGGGCAGTGACTGTAATTTTAGTGGCGAGTCACATCCGCCACGTCTCAGTGTTGTTAAACGGACAGCTGTGACATTTTATTGGGGGAACACTTGCCAGCCGAAAACTAACACGTAAAGGAACACTGCCGCCGAAATATTTGCTGGACCGATAAAATCCGGGACCACCCAACTGGCACCAGGAGAAGGTTGTTTTGCAGGCAAGCCAATATATGGTACACCTTTCGTCTGTCTTTCGGAATTATCCCAAATAGTTTTTGCGCAAGACAATATTTATTAAGGGGAATATACGGTTACCAATTACAGGGAACCTAAAATACACAAGCATAGCTATTTAGTTTGCTTATTTTCACGTTAAAAATTAACTTCCCAAACAACACTGTGCAAAACACAGTGCGAAGACGAAGCTCGGCAGATGAACGCATTTCGAATTGTCATCAGGTGACCAGGAAATAATTATAAGTGTTAAGTGGTGCAAATATGCAAATAAACAAAGTTAAGGCGGAAATCACGTCACTACGCACGGGCAATCTGAGGCCGACCGATAGGTGCCTTTTAACACAAAACGGAAGAGACGAGAATTGATTTTCCAACGGCGGATCTTTGAATGACAAGCTGACATTAATCCGGTGATCTGAGATCAAGCAGTGCTCGCCGATCGGAATATGCTGGCCGGAACTGGGCGTAGTTGTTGTGACATCTCGTAGTGGATCCAGTTTGAATATTGCCCCTTTATTCGGAACCTCAATGACCTATCGGTACTGCGTAAGTAACTAACTGCACACTTACATACGAATTGGTATACACAACAGTATTTGACCCCGACAGTCAAAGTTTCTTTCAGTGGACGCATCGGCAACTTGTGGTTTCGGTAGATAACGTTGACTTTGTCTGCACAGGATGTGCTCTGCAGGAATGAGAACATTCGCCTTGTTAACATCTGTGTTATAATATGAAGTTTAAAGGGAAGATGCAAAGGTATGTAGCTTTTAGACACTGGGGGCACTGGATCTCTCCTTTGGCAGATGTTACTGTGAATGTCGATTAATCAGCCAGAGGTGGCCGTTTGCAGGTAGTTTACTGTTAATCATTTCCCATTCCTCGCCTGCAAAAGCAGTCAAACATATTTCCCTGACACGATTAATAAGGTCTTCGTAGTGACCGTTTGCACCGCGTTGGTGTTAAACTGGTAAAATGCATCTATTGGCTGGACCACGTTACTTTTGTGTAGACTGACATTCAAACTTGTCATTTTTCTCTGAGGTTGATGAGAAAATCCAGATAAGAGATGTCATTCACCCGCTCAACTTTACAAGAAATCATCGAGCTGGTATGCGGAGCATTTAGATGCATCACTGCATGTGTGATCGGCTGTTCTGATAAACAAAACGCTAGAATTTCATGCATTTATCATTTGTAGTATGACTATTAAGCTATTTTGCTGAATATTCTTTGTTCTACTATCAGGATAAAGAAATTTGCCACTATACGGCCCAGTGGCTTTCTACGGTTACTCCATCAATCTGACGGTACTTTGGGTTTAGGAATAGAAAGTAAACATTTTACGTACACATCAGCTACCAGTACTCTAATGATTCAACCGGCTAAAGAACGATTACACGGAACTTTCTGCTAATTCACGGGTGATTAGTTGTTTTGTGCAGCAGGTCGTTAATAAATAATGAGCCCACATCCAAATAATACAGCACTTGATCAGACGCTAGTCGTGTCGATATCTTCTATACCGCAGTTAGATATCACTCATGTCTCTCCGCTGTCGTCACCCATGACTCAGTGGCATAAGTCGCTGGATCGTATGAATAAAGTCGTGGGATTTAATCCGACAGTATTCGGCGGGTGCGCGCTACTGGCAAGTTGCAGTAGGATGAAATAACCGCCTAACACTCTCTTGGATGTGTGATGGCTGTCTGCCTGGACCTAGCTGCAACGAATCTACACAAAATCCATTAAATACCCTTACTACTCACTAAGTGGAAGCGGATCATGGAGGCAGTTAGGATTCAAAGTGACACCTTACCGGTGAGAGAAGTATCACCAATCAAAGAGGTAGTTTGTGTTAGGGCCGAATAGCACTGAGATGAACGGTCTGGGTGGCACTCTGTCCTTATCTGTTTTTGGTATCCCATGCAGTTGCGGTATAGTAGAGTTGCTGAACATCGACATGACGTAGGTTGCAGTGTCGATTACACGATAACGAATGAGCACTTGTGACGCTCATCTTTC